TGCGGCCAACTGGGGAGTGAACCATCAGATGGAAGACCTCTGTCTCTCTGCCTCTCCTCTCTGTGTAACTCTTTCAAATAAATAAATCTTAAAAAAAAAAAAAAAGTATGTAGACTAGGTGCTGGTGCTGTGGTAAAGCAAGTAAAGCCAACACCTGCAACTCCAGCATCCCATACGTGCACCAGTTTGTGTCCCAGCTGCTCCACTTCTGATCCAATTCCCTGATCCAATGTCCTGGGAAAAGTAACAGAAGGTGGCCCAAGTATTTGGGTCTCTGCCACCCACATGGGAGACCTGGATGAAGCTCCTGGCTCCAGGCTTCCACCTGGCCCATCTCCAGCCATTGAGGCCAATTGAGGAGTCAACCAGCAAATGGAAGATCTTCTGTCTCTGTCGCTCCCTTTCCCTCTCTTTCAAAAATTAATAAATCTTTTAAAATATGTGTAATATATTAACATATGCAGAGAATATGTATGCATTAATATTTATACACATAGAAAAATTCAGGAGGGCACACAGTAAACCATAAATCCAGGTTACCTCTGGGTAGCTAAATTTAAAGAACTGACATTATAAATTAAAAGGACTGACAGGGGCTGGCGCTGTGGTGCAGCAGGTTAAAGCCCTGGCCTGAGGTGCCAGCACCCCATATGGGCACTGGTTCAAGTCCCAGCTGCTCCTCTTCAACCCAGCTCTCTATGACCTGGGAAAGCAGTGCAAGATGGCCCAAAGTCCTTAGGTCCCTACACCCACGTGGGAGACCCGGAGAAAGCTCCTGGCTTCGTATCGGCTCAGCTCCGGCCATTGTGGCCATCTGGGGAGTGAACCAGTGGATGGAAGACCCCTCTCCCTCTCCCTCTCCCTCTGTAACTCTGTCTTTCAAATAAATAAATCTTTTTTTTAAAAAAAAGGACACAAATTAAAAGGGCTGACAAATAGAAGGACTGACACAAATGGAAAGGGCTGACATCATTAATTAAAAGGACTAGCATATTAAAAGGCCCGTAGCATACAGTACACTTCTGATAGGAAAAACACACAAAACAAAGACTGAGTCTCCTCAGTGCCCACAGAGCTGTCAGCTGCTGCTGTGACAGTGCTGCCCTGAATGCCAGGCAGGAAACAGAACGGGTAACAGGACAGCATCTACTTACTCCTACAGAGATGAGAGCCTAGCTTGTTCTCACCAGATGAAGAAGCAGCACAAAAATCTGAGAGCTGAAAAGACGACAGAAACTTGCTGTTTCTGACCTTGAGATTCTCAAAGACTTAGATGAAGTGAGCCAGCATAGTGGAGTAGCAGACTGAGGAAGCTGCCTCTGTGATACTGGCATTCCATATCGGGGAGCCAGGTGGAGTTCCAGCTATGCCACTTCTGATCCAGCTCACTGCTAATGCTCCTGGAAGAGCAGAAGATGGTCCAAGTACTTAGGGCACGGACACTCATTTGGGAGACCAGGATAGAATTCCTGGCTCCTGGCTTTACCCTGGACCATCCCTGGCTGTTGCAGGCATTTTGGGAGTGAACAAGATGAAAGATTGATCTCTCTACCTTTCAAATAAATTTTAAAAAATATTTAGCTGACATAAAATATGTATTTTGAAAGATAGGGGTTGGAGCCATGGCACAATAGGTCAGTCCTCCACCTGCAGCGCTGGCATCCTGTATGGGCGCCGGTTCAAGTCCTGGCTGCTCCTCTTCCAATCCAGCTCTCTGCTGTGGCCTGGGAAAGCAGTGGAAGATGGCCCATGTCCTTGGACCCCTGCACCCACATGGGAGACTGGAAAGAAGCTCCTGGCTCTTGGCTTTGGATCGGCACAGCTCTGGCTGTTGCAGCCATTTGGGAAGTGAACCAACAGAAGGAAAACCTTTCTCTCTGTCTCTTCTCACTGTCTGTAACTCTACCTCTCAAATAATTAAAAATCTTTAAAAAAAAAAAAAGATAAAGGTTTAAATTAAGTTGAATGGAGAACATGAAAATGTGGTATTGTACAGGTTTTAAAAACTCTTAGTGTCTAGCATAGCTCATATATCAACAATATCATGTCTTTAAACAGTCACATAAAACAGGCTTCCAGATTGCCTTACTCCTAGCCCATCTCACCCTCTGACACATCACTCAATATCAGAACTCCTAACACGGGCCAGCGTGCAACACAGGTTAAGCTGTTGCCCTGCAATGCCAGCATACCATATGAGAGGCAGTTTGAGCCCCAGCTGCTCCACTTCCAATCCAGTTCCCTAGTAATATGCCTAGTGTCGCTCCCCCTCTTCATGGAGGAACGACACTAAACCCTGCCTAGGCTTCATATCCGAGTCACGGCACCATTATGTCGCTCCCCTTCTTCATGGAGGAACGACACAGGACCCTGCGCTGTTCTTTCGTCTGCTCGGCCCTCCCCGGGTTTGCTGCTGGTTCTTCCCGGGTTGGCTACTATCCCTTCCACGGATGTTCCCCCTGGCCACATTCCCCACTTCCGCAGGGGAGCGGCACACCGCCGGCCGGCTCTTCTCGGGGGCTGCACAGGTGTTCCCTCAGATGTTCCCCTTAGATGTTCCCGGTGCATGCCGTCTCTCTCCTCCTTTATAGTCCTCCTCTACCAATCCTAACTCGGCTGCCCACACGCCGAGTACGCTGCTCTCCTCCAATCAGGAGCAAGTCCTACAGTTTATTAGCTGAACTGGAGGCAGCTGTGTAGAAGCTGTTTACTTCTCTCCCAGCGCCATATTGTGGGAGAGCAGATGCATAGAGTAAGTCTTAATTCCAGTAACTTAGTCCAGTCCGGATTGCTCCCCACACCTAGGAAAGCAGCAGATGGCCCAAATGCTGGAGCCCCTGCACCCACATAGGAAACACAGATCAAACTCCTGGCCTTGGCCTGGCCCAGCATTGGTTACTGTGGCCAGCTAGCGAGTGAACCAGAGAAAGAATGATCTTTCTCTCTCCGTGTGTGTGTGTGTGTGTATGTGTGTGTCTAATCCTTTCAAGTAAATCAGTTTTACAGAAAACACAACAAACTTCAAGCAAATGCTACATTTCTACATAAAATATGCTACCCGAATTTTTAGCAGAGCAGGCAAATGGCCTGAAACTTCAAGTCATATTTTAGTGCACACTGACTACAAATCTGAGCTTTGAATTCTGTTAAGATGTCAATTATATTGGTATTTACCAATTTTACCTTGTTATATAAGTAATCATAAAATTATTTTTCAGGCTGGTTAAATATTACTAGATTTTTTTGACATTCAAGTTAATTCCATGATAAATTTAAATACCTTAAACTGTAAGTAAATTTTCTCATTTTTGCTCATGAAATCACTGTTATATAAAATTATTTATATTAATTACCCAAAATGGAGAAAAGATAGAACAATCTGGTTAGTGGTTAAGAACAAAGTCTCTGGCGCCAGTGTTGCAGCACAGAGGGTTAAACTGCCACTTGTGACTCCAGCATCCCCTGTGAAGAGAGGTAGTCTGAGTCCCTGCTACTTTGCTTGTGATCCAGCTCCCTGCTAACGTGCCTGGAATGGCAGTGTAAGATGGCCCAAGTACTTGGGCCCCTGAAGCCCATGTAAAAGACTCTGGCCTAGCTCCAACCGTTACAGCCAACTAGGGGGTGAACCTGTAGCTGAAGATCTCTTTTTCAAATAAATCTTACAAAATAAATGAATAGTCTCTGAACTTGGACTTAACTAGGTTCTAGTCCTGTTCAGCCATTTACCAACTGTGAAACCTTAAGCAAGTTATACTCTCTTGCTTCAGTTTCTTCATCTGTACAAAGAAATAACAGGGCCACACTGTGGCACATGGAGTCAAGGTGCCACTTGGGACACGGGCTGGCATCCTGTATCAGTGTTGGAGTCCCAGCTGTTTCACTTTCAATGTAGCTTCCTGGTGCTGTAAAGGCCCTTACAGACACACATGGGAGGCCCAGATGGAGTTCCTGACTCAAACCTCAGCCATTGTAGCCATCTGGGGAGTAACCCAGTGGATGCAACGCTATCTCTCCCCACTGCTCCCTCACTCTGCCTTTAAAAGAAATTAAGTTTTTTTTAAAAAAGAGCAACAATACTAATCCCTTATGTTGTTTTAAGGATTAGTGATTTAATGTAAAGTGCTTTGTTTAACATTTGGCATATAAAAAGCATTATACAAAAGTGTTAACTAGGGGCCAGCATTGTGGTTCAGTGGGTTAAACTACCTCCAGCAATGCCCAGTATTCCCATATGAACAACTTAGTTCAATACTCAATTGCTACACTTCCAATCAAGCTACCTGATAATGTGCCTGGGAAAGCAGTGGAGGAAGACCCCTGCCACCCACATGGGAGACCTAGACAGAGTTTTCTGGCTCCTGGCTTGGGCCTGACCCAGGCCCAGCCATTGTAACCATCTGTGAAGTGATCTCTAACTCTGCCTTTCAGATAAAGAAATAAATAAATCTTAAAACAAAAACAAAAACAAACAAACAAACAAACACAAAAGCAAAAGCAAAAAACTAGGCTGGGGCTGGTGCCGTGGCATAGCAGGTAAAAGCCCCAGCCTATGATGCTGGGGTCCCATATGGATACTGGTTCAAGTCCCAGCTGCTCCACTGCCGATCCAACTCGCTGCTGATGGCTTGGGAAAAGCAGTAGAAGACAACCTAAGTGCTTGGGCCCCTGCTCCCACATGGGAGACCTGGAAGAAGTTCCTGGCTCCTAGCTTCAGCCTGGCCCAGCCACTAAGGCCATTTGGGGAGTGAACCAGAGGATGGAAGATCTCTGTTTCTCACCTTCTCTTTCAAGTAAATAAACCAACCTTCGGGGAAAAAAAGTGTTAGCTGCTATCAATATTATTTTGCTAAAAAGTTTTACAAAGACAAGCTACAAGTGTCTCATGCCTTAAAAACAATGCTCATTCAAGAGATTGTTCATTAAAGACCCTGCTTAAGTTCAAAACTTTACACTTTCCTAACAAGAACTGCATTAAATATACAATGCACAGCCCCACATACCTGTTTGGAACACGAGTTCTTTCCCTCCAACACCTGCTGCCTCCAGGTTAATAAATGCACGAATCAAGCTGGCCCAGGGGTGCTGAGTAATGAAACCATGACTGGCCTTAATGAGAAGAAAACAAACATGGGCGACAATCTTAAACTGTCAACAGATTCTGCTTACTGTAAGGACAGACAGGCTATCTAGATAAGGTAAGGAATACAAAAACAATCACCTTTCCAAGGCAGTATCTAAGACATCTTAGTTTTTCTTTCTATGCATAATGGCTGTGTGCAGTTTGCTGAACGGAAAGTCCCCCTCACAGAGGCAGCCTGATTACAAGGAGTGGTGCCAAACAAGCTTTGACCAACACTTGGTGTGTAATAAGCACACTTCCTTGGTAAGAGTGAAGCTGTGCAAAGTGAGAGGCGCAAGACAACAGGAAGAGACAACTACGGGGGTGGGCATTCATGCTCTGTGCCTGCCCTAAAGCATCTCTCAAACGCCAGGGTCAAAGAAAACCTGAGCCCCTGCCGAGACGACCGGTTCTGGGTTTTTCCAGTACTGCACTACCTACTTAAATAGCTAAGGATTTCTTAAAGGACTGCCAGGTGTAGTACTTCCCTTGCATATCATTTTAAGAGACTACTCATATGAAGAGTAAACATGCATAAATGTTAGCTATGACCACCCTCGCGATTAATTAAGCCCAGTATTTACAGCAGTACTGTCTCACTTGCAAGACATTTTCCTCAGCACCATTAAAAAGGAACACGACAGCATGATGCAAGGCTTCGGAAGACGTTGCCAAGACACGAAGGACCTCCAGCATCACGGAGCAGCTCACCGCGTCATCACTGGCACCTTCAAATCAGAAAAACAGATTTGCTTCTCAGATTGGGAAACATTCACAGAGGAACTCTTAGGGCCAGGAATGGGGTCTGCCTCTCCAAGAAGCAGCGCGACACCTCCGTGACCAGCAGTATAGCTCCGTCCATCATCAGGTGACGTTACAGCCACCAGAGGTAAATGCCATGAGGGCAGAGAGCCCTTCGTCTGCTTTGCTCGCTGACTTACAAGCAGTGCCTAGAACCACGCCAGGCCCACACAGTCCCTCAGCCACAGTCTGTTCAGTAAGTATATTAACCAGGTGGGACCTAAAGTCCCCCCTGAAAACTGGCATTCTCGGCAGCACAGGCTATTTGTCCCCTTCTTTATCCTGGTTCCACGTCCTCAGTAGTAGTCTCACTTCTGGTGCGTACTGCTTCTTCCGTCATCTGGAATCGCCACCTCTCCCTTCTTGCCCATCTCATACAGGCTGCAGATCATACCACATGTACAGAGGGTTCAGTCTGGATAGTGTAGCATTTTGTTAAGGTTTCTTTGAGGGGGTCATATGATGGGAAAGTACAAGGACAGACACCCAGTCTCATAAGACACACAAAAAAAGACTAATGATCTAAGTTCTACCCCTGGTCCCAGCACTGACCAAGTAAATAACCAAGTCAAACCTCTTAACCTCCTCTTCTTATTTGAAAAACAGAGATGGAAGGGAAGAGGGAGCTCCCCCATCTGCTGGGTCACTCCCCAAATGCCAGCGACAGTGGGGTCCCGGGTGGGCCAAAGCTCAGAGTACGGAACCCAATCCAGGCGGCTGGAACTCGGTTATTCAAGCCTTGATCTGCTGCAGCCTGCTGCAGGAGCAAGACGCTGCAAGCAGAAGCCTGAAGTGGGAATTGAACCAGGGACTCTGATGTGAGGTACCTGGTATCTTAACTACTGAACTACACATACACCCCTTAACCTCTTCTTGACTCAAATTTTCTATGTTAATTAAAGGTGATTAGGAAGAGGACTTTAGTGCTTCGTATTATTTAAAGTATGTAAGATGCAGGTAAAAGAAATGACAGGCTATTTGATATTAAGGAATTATTAGCTAACATAACTCATGGTATTATGTCAAAAAAAGGTCCTTATATTTCAGCAATATAGACAAATACTGATACAGCTAAGACCAAGGAGTAGGAAGTAGAAAAACTGGTCTAATGAAGCTGGAAGTCAGGTACACGGGTTCATTGAGCAGTTGTTTCTATAAATATTGACATGTTCTGTAATAGAAAGCTAAAGAGAGTAGAGGGTGTTTAGTTTAGTGGCTAAGACACTCAGATCTCATATGGGGTGCCCAATTTCCACTCCCAGCTCCCAACTCCAGCTTCCTGCTAACGCAGGCCCCAGGAGGCAGCAGCAAAGGGTCCAGTCACTCAGTCCCTGCCTCCCACACGGAAGACCTGGATTGCATTCCAGCCTTGAGCTTCCAGATTGGTCGCAGGCCTAGCCTTGCAGGCATCTGGCCAGTAAATCAGTTGATGGGACCTTGCTCTCTCTCACTGCCTCTCAAGTAAACAATTAAAAAAATTAGAAGTAATCAAAATTAAAATACTAACACTGGATTTATACATGGGAGGCAGCGTTTTAGAGCAAGAAACACACAGAAATACATTTTAGCTGTGTCACTTCACTCCGCTACTTCCTGGTTGTGATATCCACCTCAGAGTTTTTTTACTCACAGAATCAGACAAGATGCACCGTGCCTAGCACCTCCTAGTCCAGGTTGGTTTTTCCTTCTCCCGTTGGGAAACCTAAGGAAGGCACTGCCAGCTCAAATGCCTCCATGGGCTCTATCAAGACCGCACCCCTATTCAAACAAACTGCTATTAAGCACATTGTCTTGGTAGTGATTACTTAATTGCATGTTAGTCAAGGTGAAACCAATTACTCTCAAGAAGGAAGTATGTGTTACTACCAATAAAAGTGTCCCCTTCAGAAAACCAAAAGCAGTATTTTTGACTGAGACTATAAATCATTTAAAAATGAAAATAAAGCAATGTTTCTTTTTCTCAAAACACAGAAGAGGACAACTGAATGGTATGTATCTGTGTTTGCAGACCTGACTAAAAAGTTCAATTATCCGTTAACCTTCCCTTTTATGGGTTCTGGTGTCTGTGAAGGGAACTAGAGAAGGGTCAGATACCTTTAAGACAGTGAAGGAAAGTCAGCAGACAGTATCTCACAGGGCTGAGCGGTTAACCACCATCCTTTTCCACTTAGAGTTAACCCTGAAATTGAAGCCACCCCCAGTGTCTCTTCTATCAGTGACCTGACAGAAGCCACGCAACAGACAAGAAAACGACGAAGGTCTTTCTGTGGGTAACCTTACTCTTACTTGGTATCAGTTCCCAAGTCCCAGATAAATTACTAGAACTTTGCAAAAAACATTCAAGCTTCAATTAGTTCATCCACTAAAGTGATTTACATGGAAGTCTACTTGATGGATGTATGGAAAAATTTTTTGTTTTAATTTATTGATTTATTCAAAGAGTGACACTGAGAGAAAAAGAGAGAGACAGAGACAGAAATCTTCTACCTACTGGTTTATTCCCCAAATGGCTATAATGGCCATGGCTGGCCTAGCCTAAAGCCAGGAGCCAGGAACTCCATCTGGGTCTTCCAGGTGGGTGTCAGGAGCCCAGGTACTTGGGCCATCTTCTGTAGCTTTCCCAGGTGCATTAGCAGGGAGCTGGATAGGAAATAGAGCAGCCAGGACTCGAACTGGTGCTCTGATATAGAATGTCAGCAACACAAGCCGTGCCTTACCCATGCACCACCATGCCAACCCCTGAAACACTGCTTTTAACGACTTATTATTGACAGAAATTTCCTTTAAATTGTTGGTATGGTACTCTTGTAAAATTTTAGTTAAAAATTGGGGGCCAGCGCTGTGGCACAGCAGGTAAAGCAACTATCTGCAGTGCCAGCATCTCATATGGGCGCCAACTGGAGTCTCAGCTGCTCCATTTCTGATCCAGCTCCCTGCCAACATGCCTGGGAAAGCAGCAGAGGATGGCCCAAGTGCTTGAGTCCTTTGCACCCACATAGGAGACCCGGATGAAGCTCCTGGCTTAGGACCAGCCCAGCTCCAGCTGCTGCAGCCACCTGGGGAATGAACCAGAGGATGTAAAATTTCCCTCTGTCTCTCCCTCTCTCTCTAACTGCCTTTCAAATAAGTAATTCGGTAAAAAAAAAAAAAATAGTTAAAAATGGATTCTAATGACCCACAAAAAAGGCCAACCCTTCATTACTAGGCTATATATGCAATTTGTAACATTCTGCACAATGCCTTTGAATGGTAGAATTCGCCACCTGAAAATAAGGATTATTTTGAGCTGAAGGCAATTGAGAAGAAAATATAGAAAAGCTCTCTGCCCTCCTCCTCAACCCCCACATCTGCAAAAAAGGACATAAATTTCGGAATGGGTCCCTCCTCCCTTCTCTACAAGGATAGACAAAGGTTGAACACCAAAGACAACTTTTGACCCTTATCAGAGTCAAGCCAGTACGAGAAGAGTCTACTTGACAAAATTTACTACCTTCATATACCAGGTATTTGCTTTCCTACAATGTGCCACTCTATAGAGTCAAGGTCCTTTCCTTTGTAACGTCTCCAGAAATGAATAGTTCTTTGTTGTAAACACTATATAAGCAGAGTCTAAACCACCTCTCTGCAATTTACTCATTATTCCTGTGGTATCGCCCTTGTACCCATGAGGTATGCATGTTAATAAACTTCTGTTAGTGTTTCTCTTGTTTATCTGTCTTTGTCTACCCCAGCTATGAATGATGAAAGGTAGAGGAAAATCATTTTTTCTTCCCTCTGTCTCTGATACTTACATAATATTATATAATGCTCTTATTTGCCCCCTCAAGAATTTAAGCATCATAATCATACATACAGAGAAACATTTTATTACTGCTTTGAAAGACATAACACTGGTTTCCCCAGCACAAAGGCAATTGTGCTTTTATATAACAAATGTGTGTATACTGAGTCCTAAAAAGGCAAGGTACATTCTAAATGCAATCATAAAGTTTTCTAATGGGCTGGCACTGTGGTGGAGCAGGTTACACTGCTGCTTGCAATGCCAGCATCCTGTACCACAAGTGCCAGTTCAAATTCCAGCTGCTCTGCTTCCAATCCAGCTTCCTGGGAAGGCAGTGGAAGACCGCTCAAGTACTTGGGCCCTTACCACCCACGTGAGAGCCCAGGTTGCAGTTCCTGACCCCTGGCTTCGGCCTGGCCCAGTCCCTGCTGTTGCAGCCATTTGAGAAGTGAACTGCGCTTGCTTCAGCAGCACATATACTAAAATTAGAACCAAAAAGTGACCCAACAGATGGAGCATCTCTGTCTCTCCCTCTCTCAGTAATTCTGCCTCTCAAATAGTTTTTTTTTTTAATTTTCATTTATTTGAGAGGTAGAGTTACAGACAGCAAGAGGCAGAGACAGAGAGAGAGGTCTTCCATCCAATGGTTTACTCCCCAATTGGCCGCAACGGTCAGAGCTGTGCCAATCCAGACCCAGGAGCTTCTTCCCTGGTCTCCCATGCGGGTGCAGGGCCCAAGCACTTGGGCCATCCTCCACTGCACTCCTGGGCCACAGCAGAGAGCTGGACTGGAAGAGGAGCAACCGGGACTAGAACCGGCACCCATTTGGGATGCCGGCCCTGCAGGCAGAATATTAACCTGCTGCACCAGGCTGCTGGCCCAAGATAAAGCTTTCTAATTAACGACATTCCAGTACACGTTTTATCGAGTAAGCACATTTTACTTTCTAGTTCACATAGCGCGATGTTTACTTGGGCCTGCTATGATTCGAGCAGTTCGGAAGTATTACTATGAGATAACACGTGGTAGCCTGAGAGAGAGGGAGGGAGGCAGGAGGAGCGTCCCCCGCCGGCTGCTGCCGCAGTGGTTTATTTCTACTTAATCCTCCCAGCGACGCCGTTAGGAAAGTACTATGATTTTTCTCCACTCCACAAATGAGAACTGGGCGAGAACTGAGGCGAGACGACGGCAAGCAATTGCCGAAGGGAGCAGCAACTGCATTCTAATACCCTGCTTCCTTTCCCATGCAACTGAAAGGACTGACGGGCCAGGAACCCTAGCACCTGGTCTGTGTCTGACCGGTGCTGACCAGCAACCCTTATTCCTCTGTCCGAGAAGGGGTCTACTAAAACGCGAGAGCACTGCAAAATGCTATTCTCTCTTCTTCTCTTCTTACAGTCTCTCTCACTACTGCAAATAGTTTTCTGAGGAATCTTGTTGTTTAGAGACAGGAGTTCAACGTAGGTGATTCTCATTTACTTAACAAATACTCACTGTGTCAGACACTGCGCTAAACATCAAGCTTTCTAATTCACCTTTCTAATTCAGATTAATTAGGCACTCTAACAGTATGGTACTCCCCGCGGACCAGAGTCCTCACTTCACAGGTCAGCAGAAACTGCTGGAAGTAACGTCCTCCAACACATGCATTCCTTGAAGGCAGGGGGAGCCCCTGAGCCTAGGACAACACCCAGCTGAGCAAACAACCGCAGTGGCACAGCCTTACTCCAGGACACGGGGACACACACTGTCTGGTAACACCGATAGGCTGCTGCTCAGTCGACCAGAAACATTCTCTGTCCTATCACTGGGTTGCTGGCATTACTGTTAAAAAAATAAAGCACCAGGGCCAGTGCTATGGCACAGCGGGTTAAAGCCCTGGCCTGAAGCACTAGCATCCCATATGGGCACCGGTTCAAGACCCGGCTGCTCCTCTTCCGATCCAGCTCTCTGCTGTGGCCTGGGAAAGCCGTAGAAGATGGCCCATGCCCTTGGGCCCCTGCACCCATGTGGGAGACCTGGAGGAAGCTCCTGGCTCCTGGTTTGGGATTGGCGCAGCTCCAGCCATTGTAGCTAGTTGGGAAGTGAACCAGCAGATGGAAGACCTCTCTCTCTCTCTCTCTGCCTTTCCTTCTCTATCTGTGTAACTCTTTCAAATAAATAAATAAATCTTTAAAAAAATAAGTCTTAAAAAAATAAAAATAAAGCACCAGGGGCCAGCACTGTGGCGTAGTAGGTAAAGCCACTGCCTGCCGTGCCAGCATCCCATATGGGCGCCGGGTTCTAGTCTCAGTTGCTCCACTTCCAGTCCAGCTCTCTGCTATGGCCTGGGAAAGCAGAAGAAGATGGCCCAAGTCCTTGGGCCCCTGCACCCACATGGGAGACCCGGAAGAAACTCCTGGCTCCTGGCTTCGGATCGGTGCAGCTCCAGCCATTGCATCCATTTGGGGAGAGAACCAGCGGATGGAAGATCTCTCTCTGCCTCTCCTTCTGTGTAACTCTGACTTTCAAATAAATAAATCTTTAAAATAAAAAAAAAAAGCACCTGAGAGAATACTAAAAGGTTAGAGGCATAACTGATACTATTCTAATTATCCTGCCTCTTCCATCACAATGAAAACAAGGCTTGTGGGGCCGGCATCCCCTATCAGAGAGCCAATTTGAATGCTGGCTGCTCTGCTTCCCATCCAGATTCTCGCTAATGCACCTGGGAAGGCAGCAAAAGACAGGCCAAGTGCTTACACCCCGCCACTCACGTGGGAGACCCGGGTGGAGTTCCAGGCTCCTAACTTCAGCCTGGCTGTTGCAGCCATTTGGGGAGTAAACCAGCAGATGGACATTTTCTTGGACATTTTGTCTTTCAAATAAATTAGTAAATTCTTAAAAAATTAACTATCTGGGCCATGATGACTTCTGAACGACTTAAACAGAAGTACATACCTGGTGAGTTCGCCACTGAGTCAAAGTGACAGTTGGCCAGGACGGCATGCTGGGCTCCATCTCTGGGTTCCAGCTTCACCACAACATTGGTGATGTTGTCATAGTAGCTCGTGAAACCCCCCAAGAAGTCAATGCTGAAGGAGCCCGTGGGCCGCTGCACATCCACCGAGATCATGTGAAGGCTGCTGCTTTGAGCTTCAATCAGCTTAATCTGCTCCAAAAGGTAGCGAACCGTCAGAATTTCATTTTCTGGACTCCCTGTGGTCCTGGGGCCAATTGATGTTATGTGTTCAAGATAATCCCTGGAAGTGAGCAAAACAAGGACTATGGCTAAGGCTTACCGGTGTAAAACTAAGGCTTAGCATATTAACATTTCCAACACACACTCCTTCCTCCTCCATTAAGCTCAGTTCTTTGACTTCTCATGTAACAAAGGCTGGGGCTGGCACAGTAGGTCAGGCATCCCATTTAGGTGATGATTCAAGTCCTGGCTGCTCCACTTCCTATCCAGTTCCTTGCTAATGCACCTGGGAAAGCAGTGGAACATGGCCCAAGTGCTTGAGCCCCTGCCAAGCTATTTAAAGAGTGAACTAGTGGATGGAAGAGCTCTCTCTTCTCTATAACTCTGCCTTTCCAGGAAATAAATAATAATAAAAAAAAAACCTGCCTTTAATTATTTCAGACACTTGTGAAAATCACTTATAAATTCCCATTTTATTTTGCTTCCCTTGATTTCTTTAAAGGTTCTTTTCACTCACTCCATTTTCAACTTCTCCCAATTCCATCAAATCAATATAGACTAAGGATTGTATTCAAATTGTGTGACAGCATACAACTTCACTGGGCATTATGGGATTCTGGGTTACTGGTTCTAAGCGGCAGGAACCAATGAACAAAGACAAGCAAGTCAAGAGGTTAAACAAGCAAAGAAACACTTTTGATGGTGCGGGGTGGACCCAGGCCTCCTAGTAAGCACACAGAGCCTAATAACTTCAACTCAGGCCAAGCCCAAGTCTACGCCCGCCTAATGGAAACTTTTTTTTTTTTTTGGCCTTTTCATTGCATTGCAAGTTCAGGGGAAAAAGGTGACCGGGGTGTGTTCCAGAAAGCCATTAAGAAAATAAGCTTTCAGCACTTTGCAGTCAAAGAGGAGTTTTTAAAGCACAGTGGCGGCTGAGACTTCTTCCTACTGGCTTATGATCTCATGAGCTTGGGCAGACTTGGGTTACAAACTCTGACTTAATCACCTCCTCTGGCACGGCTAAAGGCCTTTTAAAAACTGCAATCCAAACCAAACCAAACGCCAGGTCTTACACCGGCACTATGGCGGGGGTGGCGGAGTCGGGGGGAAGAGCTGCAGGGAGCTAACAACTTCTGGAATTGCGTGCGAACTGCGAACAGCCAGCCTCCCAAGGAGAGACTCTAGGGCCTTCAGGTTTGGGTACTATGACCCTCCAAAAATTAAGACTACACGAACCCCCTCCAACACCTCTCTTCATTTGGAAAGCAGGAGGCCCGAGCACAAAGTGGAAGTTGCTCCAGAAGTTAGGGGGTGGGGAGAGGGCTACATCTGCACACAGGTCATGGTGGATGACCAGGCAGGCTCAATCCACGTGGCCCCCGCGCAAAGCCACCCCACCGCCCCCGGTGCCGCAGCGCCAGGAGCAGGAGGGTGAGCGCCCGAGGTCCCGCACAGGTGCGGCGCCCTGGAGCGGGAGCAGGGGCCACAAGAGGACGTCCGGGGCCGCGCAGGGCGGGAGCGGACAGTACCTGGCTTGGCTCGCGTCGAACTCTCCGCGGTCCCCAGCGGCCCCGCGCAGCACGAGCTGCTGCAGCGAGAGCTGCACGAGCGTCCGCAGGGCGAGCAGGTAGAGCGCGAGCCCCAGCGCCGTGCGCGCCTCTGACAGCCCGGTCCCCGCGCCCCGGCTCGCGCCGCCGCTACCCCCTGGGCTCCGCTTCCGCGTCCTCGCGCCGCTGCACGCCTCCACCAGGGGCTCCTGCGCCAGGGCCTCCCTCTCCGGCTGCGCAGCGGCCGTCGCCGGTCCCTCCCGACGTTCCCCGCCGACGCGGTGCCGCCTCACAGCCGCAGACTCAGAGCCCCACTCCATGGCCACGAGCTTCACCCGCCAGCCCAACCGCCCCAGCCCGCGACAGCTCCAGCTGCGGCCGCCGCCGTCGCCGCCGCCGCAGCGCCTCCTAGTGAGCGGACGGAAACTGCAAAGGGCCAAACTTCTTCTGATTGGCCCGTCCCGCCTTGCCGTGAACAGCTTTGGGCAGAGTGTTGGCGGGCAGTGGCAGGGCCAGCGTAGGCTGGGCGTGGTGGGTTTGTCCTGTGCAGGGCTTCCCAGCCGAGTATGACACAGAGATTTCCCAATGCAGACAGCCATAAAGCAAAACATGCCTGCCCAAAGCAAAAGTGCCAGGTCGCGTTTAAAAGAAATCACAGGGCTCTTGGTGCATCAGGCTGATGAAGGCGGCAGTGGCCTGGTTTTCTTAAGGGACAGTAGGACAGGCTTTGAAAAAGTAGGGTCCTGGCTCCCAACAGGAGAAACAGGACTCCACAGAGGAGCCTCAGCCTATTGCCTCCACATAAACTTAGCAGATCTTAATCACCTTGGGAGATAACCACACTGTTAACAGATCAAGAAAAAAATACCTATTAATTATCAAACACCTGCTATCAGCCAAACATGGTAGTAAATGCTATAACACATTTTCTCATCTAAATCTCTCAAGATCTCTAAGAAGGAAATAGGGGATTCCCGTGTAATAGCTGAGGAACCTAGAGGTAGCAGGTGAGGAATTTACAACTACCTTGACGGGCTCCCAGAGCAGCCTTCTACTCCACTACCCCACAGCCACTCTGGGAGTGAAGATTCAGCAAAGCCCTTCCTCCCTCAGTGTCACTTGGGTGGTAAAGAGACAGAGCCTTGGTTTCAACGTGACTCCAGGTGATCCGTCTTCTTCCTGCTTGCTGGTACAATAAAAATCCCGGCTTCAAGGTTCAGTGTCAGTGGCATGGACATTAACCCAGAAACCAACAGGGAAAGTGCACTGCAGGATGGTGACTTGAGCGCAGGTGTCAGACCTCACACAACCCCCGGGAGGTCTGCTCCTGCCTCCCTCGCAGGCTACCTGACTCCCGGTCCTTAGTGTCCCCTCTCCAACCACACTGACCTTCGGAGACACCCTGCTCACCTTCTATCCTCTGGGAACAGACTCTTCGGTTCTGTTGTTTGATGTGCCCGGAATGTTCCTCCCTGCCCTTGTTGCCTGGTAAACTCTGATACTTCAATATCAGTTCAAGCAGTACTTAATCAAGACTCACTAATCGGATGTTAAAATCCCTTCATCTGTGATTAAGCCCATCTTGCCTAATTGTGGACCCTCACAGCACTGTGTGTACATGTGTTTATTTGTTATGTCCCTCATTAGACTGCAAGCTTCCTGAGAGCAGGAGTCATGTTTGTTTTTTTTTTAACAGTTATTTATTATTTGAAAGGCAGAGTTATAGAGAGACAGAGGCAGAGAGAGAGAGAGAGGTCTTCCATCTGCTGGTTCACTCCCCAGATGGCCACAATGGCTGGAGCTGAGCTGAGATGAGCTGATATGAAACCAGGAGCTTTCTCCCTTTCTCCGGGTCTCCCATGCGGGTACAGGGGCCCAAGGACTCGGACCATCTTCTACTGCTTTCCCAGGCCATAGCAGAGAGCTGGATCAGAAGAGGAACAGCTGGGACTAGAACCGGCATCCATATGGGATGCCGGCACTGCAGGCCAGGGCTTTAACCCGCTACATCACAGCGCCGGCCCCCATGTCTGGTTTTGATCAAGATTTTTATTTGCTACCCTAAGCATATAACACAATGCATAGTATATAGTTAGTACTTCTTTAGTGGATAATTGCAATTTTATAGTAGTAGCATGATTTTTAGTTCTATAAGGCCCTTTGTAGTCTAACTCCTTGAGATCAAAGACAATGCCTTATTTATTCATTCTTGCATCCATAGTGCTCAGCTTTGTACCTAGAATGAAAATGTATTTTCTCTCATAAGAACAGTTATCTTGGGATCAGCGCTGTGGTGTAGCAGGTAAAGCCATGCCTGCAGTGCCAGCATCCCATATTGGTGCCAGTTCAAGTCCTGGCTACTCCGCTTCTGATCCAGCTCCCTGCTATGGCCTGGGAAAGCAGTAGAAGATGGCCCAAGTCCTTGGGCCCCTGCACCCACGTGGGAAACTCGGAAGAAGCTCCTGGCTTCGGATCAGCCCAGCTCTGGCCCTTGCAGCCATTTGGGGAGTGAATCAGCAAATGGAAGAATTCTCTCTCCCTCTCTCCCTGCCTCTGTCTCTCTAGTTCAGCCTTTCAAATAAATAAATTTTTTTAAAAAGTGTGTACGTTGCTATATTTACAAAAACAAAACAACAACAAAACCAGCTGTCTTAATATTCTTTCCTGTAAACCCCAGACCCCCCACCATCTTTGAAAGATGAGAACTCACAGGGCCGGTGCCATGGCTCACTTGATTAACCCTCCACCTGCATCCCATATGGGCACCAGGTTCTAGTCCCGGTTGCTCCTTTTCCAGTCCAAGCTCTCTGCTGTGGCCCGGGAAGGCAGTGGAGGATGGCCCAAGTGCTTGGGCCCTGCACTCACATGGGAGACCAGGAAGAAACACCTGGCTCCTGGCTTCGGATTGGCGTAGCTCCAGCCATAGCGGCCATTTGGGGGGTGAACCAACAGAAGGAAGACCTTTCTCTCTCCCTCCCTCCCTCCCTCCCTCTCTCCCTCTCTCCCTCTCTGTCAAATAAAAAATAAAAAGAAGGATGAGAACTGTCAATCAACACTGTATGATGTGGAAGGGCTGGTATTGTGGTATAGCTGGTAAAGTTGCTGTCTGTGACACTGGCATCTCATCTGGGCACCGGTTGGATTCCTGGCTGCTCCAATTACAATTGCGCTTCCTGTTAACATGCCTGAGAAAGCAGAAGATGGCCCAAGTCCTTGGGCCCCTGCATCCATGTGGGAGACCCAGAAGAAGCCTCTAACTCCCGGCTTCAGGTTCCCAGCTCTGCCTTTCAAATAAAGAAATGAAATCTTAAAAGATAAAAATATGTCAAGGTTTTTACTCACAGGCCCTAGGAGAAGGGTGCACACATCTCATCTCATGCTTTACTTTTTGCCATCGCTTGCTGGGTGAGGTGGGTGGGTATCAGAAAGCCGAGGGACCAATAGCAGCTCTCTGGAGTGCACCCGGGAGTAAATAACTTGAGCTCTCTTGTTCTGAATGGATGATGGATGTTAAGCACTGCTGATAATATCCCATGGAGGCAATGGATCAGAATAGGAGAAATCCTGGTTGTTGGGGTCAGGTAGGTCTGAGTTCCTGGAGCGGACGCCTTTAGAACATGGCATTATTTAAGTTACAATCTGACAGTGCCTCAGTAGTCTTATTTGTTATGATGGAGATAACGCCTGCCTTAAAGAGCTACATGTGGATTCATCAGCTAGTATGTGTAAAAGATCCTCACTTGTGATTCTCATTAAAAACTTTTCCAGGATTTTTCTTCTTCTACAATCCTATGTAGATTACACTAAAAACCATCTTCCAAACATGATAATTACAGGTGGGAATCAAGTTACGAGTTCTTAGAAGGTGGTGTTTCTGTAGCTGTTTTTTTTTTTTTTTTTTTTTGACAGGCAGAGTGGATAGTGAGAGAGACAGAGAGAAAGGTCTTCCTTTTTCTGTTGGTTCACCCCCCAAAGTGGCCGCTATGGCCAGGGCGTTGCGGCCAGCGCGTTGCAGCCGGCGCACTATGCCAATCCAAAGCCAGGAGCCAGGTGCTTCCTCCTGGTCTCCCATGCAGGTGCAGGGCCCAAGCACTTGGGCCATCCTCCACTGTACTCCCTGGCCACAGCAGAGAGCTGGCCTGGAAGAGGAGCAACCGGGAAAGAATCCGGCGCCCCAATTGGGACTAGAACCCGGGGTGCCGGCGCCGCTAGGTGGAGGATTAGCCTAGTGAGCCACGGCGCCGGCCTAGCTGAGTGTTAACTACAAATATTTTAAAGCTACAAGTTGTTGAATATCTGCTGGGTCAAATACAGATCAAGGTGGAGAAACATTAAGAAGAGCAAACTAACATTTTCGCTTTCACAACTTGTAGACCATCAGCAACTGTGTGTGAATGAAGCATCCGATGTGTTAAGTGCTATGAGGACAGATAGAGCAGGGAACTGAGAATGACAGAGGCTGCTCTTTTACTAGGGTCATCAGGGAACTGCTAAGGAGATAATATTTGCAAAGACCTGAACAAAGTGAGGATCACTACATTATTATAAGCCTGGGGAGAGAATGCAACAGGCAAAGGGAAATGAGCTGGGATATCTAGAAGCACCCCGGGTAAGGCATGTGGTTAAAGCAGACTGAGTTGGGGCCGGCACTGGGGCACAGCAGGTTAATACGCTGACATCCCATATGGGCGCTGGTTCTAGTCCCGGTTGCTCCTCTTCTGATCCAGCTCTCTGCTGTGGCCCAGGAGGGCAGTAGAAGATGGCCCCCGTCCTTGCGCCCCTGCACCCGCATAGGAGACCAGGAAGAAGCTCCTGGCTCCTGGCTCTGGATTGGTGCAGTTCCAGCTGTTGCGGCCAATTGGGGAGTGAACCATTGGATGGAAGACCTCTCTGTCTCTGTCTCTCCTCTCTGTGTGTAACACTTTCAAATAAATAAACCTTAAAAAATAAAAAAGCGGACCGATTTAGGGGGCAGCAGGAGAGATGAGAGCAGAGCAGTAGGCCAGGGCCAGCCATGGGAAGGCCGATGGCTGCAGCAAGGACTTCAGCGTGGTTTCTGAGTACTGCAAGGTCATGCTTGAAGCAATACTGTTCATGATGGCTCAGAGTCTCAATCCTGGGAGGAACCACACCTAGATTACATAGACTAATAAAAGACTTCTAGAATGTCTAGCCTATTAAGTGTCTGAAACCACTTTGATCTGTGGTTTTACTTGTGTGGGAAGTCAACCACAGTGAACTGAAACATGTACTGTACTTCCCACATATCAAATTGCTGACCCAAATGCATGATGGGAAAGCCTTTGATTGACCCATCTGGAAACCTATTGGTCACCGGAGTTGAGTCAATTCATCTGGCAGGGCAGACAATTCTGCTTTTATTAAGTGCCCCCTCATGACAAAGTGAG